TTGGCAGTTTTCCCAAAAAGCCTTGATTTCCAGAAGTTTTAGTTTTGCGTGATTTTTTGAGTCGCAAAATCGACTCAAACATTACGCTGCTTTTTTAGAAGTTTCTCAAGCCCCATTTGAGCCACATAATTCGTTTAGGCATCGTTGGACAGAGAATTGAAAATTCGATTCAGTCATAACAACTTGAGTGAGGAAATTTGAGTAGTTTTTACCCAGAACGCGAAATTTGAAAATCATACATTGAGCAGCGGCGGGTCCAGCTTTCAAGTCAGGGGCGGCTCATATGGTCTAAATTCAGTCTTTTGTTGTCTATGAGATTAGAAAATCAACCCAGCACAAGAAAATGGTTTGATCCGTTTCTGTTCTGAGGCTCTTCGGATCTTTTATAGAATTTTTTCAACTCCGTTTTTTACGAAGAATGTATCCATCAACCCATTAATTTATGAAATACTGGTGAACCTGACCAGTTTCACTCAAGGCAAATGCGGGAAACATCAAAGGCTGTCTTATCGCTGTTTGGCTTAACGTTACATCTTTATTCAGCCACCATTGAATAGGAAGCCAATATTTTCGCGATTTGAAGCAAATTTCCGTCCGTTCTCTATTCAGAGCGTCATATTGTAAATTCCATTCGTACGAAAAACACCATCGAAATCCGGGAATTCGATTGCATTTATTGACAATCCGGGCACATTTCAGCCTCCACCTGCCATCGCAGGATAACAGAAATCATTCCGGCGAATAATTCACTTTCCATGCCCGCCATTATGAGCGATAGAAATTCGTTTGGCGGATGGTTCGCGCCTTTAAGGGGAAAACGCCGACACGACACAAAAATTGCGGAATAACCAATTTTCCCTACATATATCGAGTATGGCAAATACGGAAATTTATCTCAACCCCGTGAACGATTCATGGAATCAAGCATTCAATGGAAAACAGCGCCGCGAAATGTTGCGAACGAGAGTCGCACATTAAGCCCCTATTCATTCATGGGGTGGTCGCAAACAACTCGAAATTGAAGACATGCAGTCGGTCCCAAGCTATTTGGCAGTGTGTAAACTGTTAGTATTGCTTTATGTGTGCGTAGAAAATTACTTTTTGTAAAAAATGAAAGAGTGCTTTTTATAAAGCACTCTTTCATTTTTTACGAGAGCAGTCGACAACATGACACAAGTTGAATTTGCAGCATTCAAACAATTCATGAGGAAAATGAGTCACTTTCTTCAGTTTCGTCATGAATTTGCCTCAACAGTGCCTTGAATGAA